GAACAACATTAAAACCAGACGTCTAGGTTACTTCTGACAAGGAACCCACTTTTTGAAGTTCTGCATCCACACTGTCTGATATTAATAACTTAAATACATTACATACATGCTTTCCATACACACATGGTAATTGTGCATCCCCATCCTTTAAAAGGTCAACTAGATCCTCAGGAGCTTGAGAAGTAAAGTTTTGTCTAAAACTGCACTTCCCCATAGCAGTTCCAGTCTTGTAACCTTGAACTAAACCCTGAGGGAATGTTCCTGAGTCTCAAATAAAACCAAAGGATAAAACATTCACCCTCAGAATGCAGTTAGGCAGCTGAATTTGGGTCAATATTAGGGCAGTGCCCTTGACCAGAAAAAACAAAAAACAAAATATTTTTTTAGTTACATTCTACAATGTAAAATAAATAAGTCATTTATTTTGAAAATGCTTTGAGCCTGTTGGTACAACTGCTATTACTGACTAGAATGTAGTGGCCAACCCACTTCAAAGCACTACATGTGACTTCTGTGTACGTTATGCATCAAATCCCTTAAAATTCAGCCTCATCACAGCCCTGTTTAGAAAAATACCTGAGTTGTGTTTGTGCAATTTCTTCGTAAACCAAAGAGAAGTATCTTGGTGGAGAAACAGAATTTGACTTTAAAACCACAAAAATCTGCAGAAGCACAGGTACTAAAGGTACTCAGCCTCATTGTCACCTTTTAAAACTACAATTCCTAATATCAGGAGTATCCTTACCACACATATACTTGTTAGAAAAGTTGTATTTTGAGAAGAGTTACTACTATCCCCAGCAAACAATAAATACAGCATTAATCTGAACATCTGCCAGACATGTACTTGCAGGAATTATTTTCACTGCCCAAAGTTCTCAAAAGAAAAAAAAATCCCCAGAACATTTTGATGATAACATTTTCTTTTTAACTAAAATTCATTCTGGTGGATAACATTAGCCTGACAGGATTTATTTGCCCTTTAACCTCACCACTCCCTAAAGGTGACAACAAGCATCAACTGGTCTTCCTGATGTGGACATCTCTACAAACATCTGGCCCAAGATGAGTGATTTACTGCACCAAATACAATCAGACATCAAGAAAGACCCTAACTTAGGACTAACCTATCTATCCACACAAAGCTAGAACTGAAGTAACTGAAATTGTACCTAATTTACTTCTTAAGATTATTCATATCCTGTTTTGATTTAACTTACTGCTATGTTAAACTGAAATAGGATACTCATAATCAGAAATGAAAGAGTAGGTTCGCATACTAAAATAACTAAAGGTGTTAAATTACTTCTAATTTCAGTTATTTCAGTTCCAGACTGTGCATAGACAAGCTCAGAGATGAAGCCATAAAAATACTCTGAATAATGCTATCCTATTTGAAAGAAACAAGCAGCAGAAACATAACTGACTAGACAAACAAACCCCCGCAAAACCAAAACCAAAACCTCCAGCAAAGTTTGATTTTTAGATCCACCCCTATTTATGGGATATGGGCCTGGGGATGTTGTCTTTCCCAAAGGCCTTTTCACAGAAAGAAAAAAAAAAAAGCTATGTGTGGATAATGAAAAGCTTTATCTAATATCTCAATTACTCCCGCAACTGAAGAACTGCCAAAGGTTTCTGTTACCCCTTTCTCCCCTCCTCAGGGGACAGTGACAACTGCATTCTCAATAGCAGAACAACGGATGAGACTCAGTTAAAGAAAACAAGATAGTAACAATTCTGGTCCCAAGAGTCCAAGTGAATTTCAAAACATTACCAGGAATTATTTGGAGTTTATTTTCTTACTGAGTATTGCAAGTGTAAGACTTCCCTCCCCTCCCCACCCTGAGCTTTAGCTTTAGTCCCTGAATCCATCACTGCATGCTTTGATAACAATTAAATGATTCTTGAGGTTATCTAGATAGATAAGCACAGACTAAGCACCAAAGCAACATACTCAATGAGGAATCCCGAACATGGACTCCAGGAAAACAGGGACTTGGTGTTCATGCTCAGTACTCTGAAAAGGTGTCAGATTCAATATCTGACTGTTTTCCATAAATGTACAAGCAACTGCTGGTTGCCATGAGAATCATTCTTTGCAGATGCTTAACTTAAAAAAAGTAATAATCCAGAGTGACTATACCACCTGCTGTCCAAGACACTGTCTAGCATAACTTGACCTGTCTAACATATTGCCAAGTAGTACAGTGCCCTCGAGACAAACTGCACCATGAAAAATTAATTTATGTTTACATGTGCTGCTATCACCACAGTTGAGACTGTGGTACTATTTACTCTCGTACAAGGGTAAATTAGTGAAAGAAGCTGCCTGCTGCCTACAGTTTTTGAGAGAGCGTCTGGTGCTTGGTTATCATATGGCAGTAATTCCAGCTTTATGCCTGAATTCTGACCAGAAACAAGCAGCTGCAAGTCTGGGCTGTGAGTGTGAACCTCCTGTACCCCCAATCCTGCTAACTCTACAAGAGCTGCAGATGCAAAAGCAACACAGGGTCTCACCCCAGATTTGAAACAGGATGGGGCCTCTCAGCAACAGAGGTGTTCTGGCTGTGCACAGCACAGCCTGCCTGGCATCCTATTCATGATGCAGGCATGCATCTCCCATCCTTCAGCCTAGGGTACAGTTGCACACAGCCGCTGGCACACAGTTCTCTTCACATGTCTCATGTGCGTTCCTGGGCCACACAATCCACGACTTCTTTTCCACACTGTGTGCAGGTGAAGGAAGGAAATAACGCAACCAATGGCAACATTTCGATTTCACCTAATAAAAATAAATCACAGCAGCCTTTCCATCTAAATTAGGGTGCTTATTAACCTTTGGGATCTTAAAAATTCAGGTTACACTTGTGCAACTGTTGTAGTACTACCTATAACTGCTTCAATTAATGCATGTGAAGAATATCAGGCAAATCTATGATGACTGTAAAGTTAAAAAATTGCTCAGGTCTGGATTTTTTGCTTCTGTTATCAATAGCTAAATTTATGGCAACTTTGTGACCTCTTTGAAGAAAAACACAAGGATTATAAATATAAGCGAACACTAATATTGATATGTCAGCATTAGTTCTGATATTATTAACAATAGGCATGAGTGCATTATGCAGCAGAAAAGGGGGCTGAATTTTAATAGACATGTTAACAACATCTGTCAGCATTTATTGCCCTATTGTGACCACGTAAAGAGCCTTATTGGCAGAATGTGTAAGTGAGGAAATCTGCTACACTGCTGTAGCCTGCCATTCTCCTGAAATATCACTGCTTAAGAGAAGTTAAGGTATTCTAAATAGAAAAATAAATAAATAAAAATACGAAAGAAAGGCTTCCATGTCACATGGAAGAGAAACAAGTGCTGCTGTAAGCCAAGATTTTCTTCTATCCCTTGATTTTTGCGTAAGATACTTCTAAACATTTTTAATTATAATTAATAAAACTGAAGCCCACAGAGAGGAATGGAAGAACATAACAAAGAAATAAAAAGCAAACAAAAGAAACATAACCACCTCCAGAACACAGCAACAAACTACATCCCCTCTCAGCAGCATCCACAGGGAAGTACCCCATGTCCTCAGGCTCCTCAAGGAGATTTTTCAGAGCCCCAGGATCATCCTTTCGGAATCAAAAAATTAGTTCTAACATCTAATACCAAGAAAGCATGCTCCTTTCTGTCTCTCTTTCTCCCCCTTTTTAAACTCAGCAGTAATCTTACAGCCATACTGGTAAAAACATCAAGCAGGCTTGTTTCCTGTTTCAGTGTTATTCTTGAAGTGGGCTGCAGTAAGAATCTGATTTTCATTGGGCTATTATTATTTGCAGCTGCGTGACCTTTTTAACCCTCTTTTAAAAGTGACATTTCAGCCTTCAACCTCAAGCTGTCTAAATGTTGCAGGGTTTTCAGGCCTCTGATTAACAGAGGAAAAGAACTGATGGGGAGGTGTATACTACAATGTGTCTAATACAGGTCAGTGCACCCATCCTGCCATTTGCACAAGTCAGTAATTACACTCTTATAAGCAACCTGTTTGTTGAAATTAATCACCTGGGCATATGCTTGCAAGACAGGTTTCTTCAGCCTGGTGTGACCAAGGTCACTGAGATTTCCAAATACAAGTACAAAATACACAGTCGCTAGAGTTAGCAGCAGTATGCAGAGACATGAGCAATAAATGAAGCATCACCTATTTTTTAGGGTCATAGCCACAATGTATAAAAAGTGAGAGTAGACATGGTTACATTGCACTTGTGAACAGTAAAGAAACCCGTCGTTGTATGCAGCATTTTAAACTGCTGGTCATGGCTATTCAGTCCAGTGCTATTTATAGATAATTAGAGTGTTATTAGAAATGCTATTAAGACTTGTTGGTTTTGGAAGTGTAATACATGCAGGGTTAATGACTACGGTTGTCCCCAGTACATCCTTGCATGAGCAAAGCTAATTTGAAGTACCGTTGTGCTGAAACAGTGCATGGTGTTTTTTGTCAGCATGGGCTTTTCAGTGGAAGCACTTGTTTTCTGAACTAGCATCATGATTTCCACATGCACACATACAAGGCTCATTATCACAGCCCTGCCTGCTTCGGCTGCTACAACGAAGGGTCTGTCAGCATTTCCAT